ACTTGTTTCAGTGTTGGTCACAGCTGCGCCACCTACAGGGATTTTAGAGTTAGTCATTCGGCAGCCATTGGTGTGTGTGGTAACGGGCTTACGCTGTGTTTCAACTGGAGTGACTTCCGGAGGTTACAGCCTCCCGAGGCCGGTCCCAGACCTGGGAGACAAAACAACGCATGTTACCGGTAATACCAGTCCATGATGACCCAAGAAAGGCAACAGAATCACTTATTTCCATTGGGTTCCTTTGGGTGAGACCCACGACAGTTTAACACCCAGGTACCTATTTACTGCCAGATGAACGGGGGACAGCAGGTGTGAGGATACTTCCCTGTACATCTTATCTCGTCAGCTTCAGTGAGTTGCTGGACGTCCGTTCACTCTTAACCAAGATAAGTTTTTAATCTATCTTTTTTGCACATTCCTCCCAGGCGCTGTATGATCTCTACTGGTTTAGCGCTCCCTAATAAATTTAATAATTAGTTACACTAGTTATCTACACGACCCAACAATTTGTTATTAAAGATAGTAAAGAGTTATGGGTTCACAGCAGCCCGGGTCATTCCCTGCGACACATCCGGGTTAAAAATCCGCACAAATATTAATCTTACCCAGGAGCTGTAGGTTAACCCTCCGACCCTCCGTCCCCTCAAGGGAGGTTTCTTGACGCTGGTGAGGGGCCCTTGATCTAGGGAATTGGATCTGATCCAGTTCCCTGAATTAAGCCTGAATACCTTCCCCCCCCCACATGAGCTGTATAATCCTACGGGTTTAGCGCTCCCCCATGATTATAATAATTAACCCTCCGAACAAGTCCGGAGGGTTACCTACCCAGGATAACCCAAGGAAGTCAGTGCGTCATCTTGTATCCTTTCAGTCTTATCCTCCAGGATGCGACCCACACCAGTCGACTAACACCCAGATACCTAATTATTGCTAGGTGAACAGGGACATTAAGTGTAAGGAAACAAGCCCAACATTTCCACCCGTTTCGGGGATCGAACCACCTAGGAGAATTTGGGCTGCGTCACCTATGCCAGCTGAGTGTGTCAAGGTAGGTGATACTGCAGATGCATAACTTGAGATCACGCAGATGCCGATACAAATAATACATTTTTACTGTTTTCGAAAAAAAAAATGACCACAGCAGGACTACATCGGGGAATCTTGAATTGCTATGTCCGTAGTGTTTTGTTCTACCTACATACAATGATTTTATTGGGGAAAGGAGAAAGAGTAGGGTATAGACTCCGAGCATAACCAAACCATACCCCGGCCGGGATTGAACCCGCGGTCATAGTCTCAAAACTCCAGCCTGTCGCGTTAGCCACTAGACCAGCTAGCCACAATAAGATACATCCAACTAGGTATATTTCTACACCATAGGAAGGTTAGCACAGGCACCACTGTGACCACAAATGCAAGTTTTTACAGACGAATCTCCAGCTAGCGTGGCCGTGACGAACTCTAGCAATCGTGTCATTACGATTTCGTGAGTCACTCGAGCATATTAGGAAAACCAACAGATTGATCTTTATTAAATTCACGGCAGTTGTTTACCTGTGCAGGATGTGGTAGAAGAGAATTAATTAGCATAACCAAAATCTCTTTTAAAGTACATTTTGTGAAATTGGTTTTGGGCTGTGTACACTGAAACTGGCTTGGTTAGTTACAGTGGTAATGACCTATTTACATGGATATATCTGGTTACGTTCTTAATGAGTTATTTATATAGACATGAATTCTCGCAAAAAATATGGGCTGTGTAACCTCTAGTTTGACATTTTCATTGAAGAAACCGGGTGATTAGTTTCCATATATCGGCAGCAGCACCCGCGGATAAGTTTTTCTTGTTTTACGATCAAACATTTGATTATAGTGGTCTTGAGGGTACACATATTATAGGCACACGTTATAGTAAAGTGTGTAGATGCAATTTATGATAATCCAGTAAAGTCGAATTGACTTATTTCTTGTATAATCTGCCTACCACCCACGACCACCTCACCTTACCAAAGATTCGATTATATCATTTTACCGAAACATTTAGTAATTTCCCAGTGGACATGTAATAAACGCGAAATAAAAACAGATAAAGAACCCTAATGGAAATAAATTATGCTGATTTTTTTGGATTATCCAATGTTCATTGTATTCTTCTGATCTAACCAAACAATATACCATTGTTATATGCCTTAAACATACACGTGACCGGACAGCCATTGAGTAAATGTATACCACTGCCTGTAAAACATTAGTATAAACCCTGAATAAGTTTTGTATTAATTTATTGGGTTTATATTTTCTTGCTTGCTTTTAATTTTGCGTGTCAGTAGATGACGTCAGTGTTGGAGGAGAAGCGACCTGAACAAGTTGTCAACACTGCTGTTGGTGATCAATACAGTCATTATGGTGATCAACATTCCTCATGCTGCTGTTGCATTAAAGGTATATACTGTTGCATGCCATATTATTCATGCTATTGCAGTGTTATACGCGTTTGTGGTAGTAATTTCCTTCATGGATGGGGAAGGTGTTGTGATGGCTACCATTCACGCCTGACGTGTCATAGATTTTAATTTGTTTCTTTGTTCCTTTTCAAGATTATTGTTTAACGTCCTTGTTACTACAGTATATCTATATTGTTAGGCGTTATATTAGGTAATCTACGGTTACTGTCAAAGTTAACAAATGCTTCCTTAACCAGACAGTAATCACCATTAGTAGTCAGTTACCACTGATGATCCCACATCATTAATAATCTTGAATTTCACACACTGTAATATTCAGAACTACTAATACAGATATATAGGCAGGGGAAATAAGTAGACACCCCAATTGAAATAAGTTGATTTCATTGAGTTATCCTAGGTTAAATATACATAATGTTGTGTCCATAACATATGTGCTCTCAAGACCACTTCAAGTCTTTTTTTTTTTTGTATATTATTTAAGCAAGGTCTACATAACTTGCTTTCTTTTTTCACATATCAGAAAATAGGTACCCTACTTGTAGGTCGTGTTCTATAGCACAAAAACAGTTTACAATTGACATTTAGTTTACCTATTCTTAAAAATTAATTGCCTTGAAGTAAACTTCTTTTCCATTTTTATGCATGTCATTTTTATTTGTGTGTGTGTACGTACAATATTTGATCCAAATCCTTATTGCTAATTATTTTTTTAAATCTTTCGAGTTCTAAAAATGAGATTGTGTTCAGATTATTTATCTGGAGAGTTAGTAACTCAGGATAATCCAATAAAGTCCATGCTTTATCACATTGTCAGTTTTATTTGCATCTGGAATGGGACCCACAACAGTCAACTAGCACCCAGGTACTAACTGTTAGGTGAACAGGGGGAGCAAGGGTAAGGAAGCACACCCATTGTCTCACCCCTGTTGGGGAGCAATCCTCAGTTGCTCACTGTGTGAGCTGAAGACTTATCAACCAAGGCATGAGTACCCACATATTTTGTTTATTGGGATTGACTCAGTGGGTTAGTATTAGTAACCTTTATGTACTGTACTCCAGAAACTGGAACTGGAATAGTATATAAATGCAGTACTAACAAGGCAGAATGAATAGCATTAGAGTGCAGTGGATACTTTTATTAATAGTAACATTTTGACCATAAAATGGGATTTATCAAGTAAGTTATCCATTGACCTAAGTGTCATTTACTCTGTACATTTTTGTACATTTTTAATTTGAAAATTCACCCATTGGTTGTAATGCAGTCATAAATGTGATTGAAATACTTTACTGTATTTTTGAGCTTCATATACAGTATTTGATGTTTTTTGATTTACATACTATTATATACTTAACATTTAATTCACAACACTATATGCTTGAAAGTTTAATATTCCAATATTGCAAATAATTTTCCTTCCATTCACAGGGCATATTCTTCGCACACCTGATACTCACAGTGTGGTAAATGACACACCCAGTTTAGTGTTTGCATTGTTTAGCTTTATTTTTGCACAGTATTCTTGTCATTATTTTTGTATGATGTAGTAAACCCTCAATTTAATAGACCAGTAGGAGATTGTGGGTGATTGTGGTAGATAGAGATGAGTTGTTTTGCTGTAATCATAACAGTGCCATAATGCATAATTCTATAACTGATGGACTATTTACCCATTACATTTTGTTCTGTATTTCTGAAGTCCTTTGAATTGAGAGTTTACCTTATGGCAGTTTTGTTTTGCTTTAGGTATTTATGGCATAGTAATTGTGGATCTTGGTTAATAGTGGGTTTTGGTATTTATTCATAAATATGTATCGTGTGTTTTAAGATTGATTGAAGTAGTTTAAAGATTTACTTAACACTTGACATACAGTTGACCATTGATTAAGACTATAGCTGTGCTTTTGAAAACAGCATTTAATAAAAGAAATAACATAGATGAACTGAAGAACATAGACAAATAGGGTTACATTTCTGGAATACCCACAAAAGCAAATAAATTTTTTTTTGAAGCTTTGTGTTTCATGAAGATTCAAAAATAGATTTTCCATTGCTCACGTTAGTTTTCATTCCTTGTTGATCTAGAAATGTGTGGAAGGGGTAGCTGCAACCCTGTTTACCTGGAGTTTACCTGGAGAGAGTTCCGGGGGTCAACGCCCCCGCGGCCCGGTCTGTGACCAGGCCTCCTGGTGGATCAGAGCCTGATCAACCAGGCTGTTGCTGCTGGCTGCACGCAAACCAACGTACGAGCCACAGCCCGGCTGATCAGGAACTGACTTTAGGTGCTTGTACTGTACTGTGCTTGTACTGTACTGTGCTTGTGCTGTACACACATACGACAAACATTTCCAAAACTATATCCTTCCAACAGCACAGCATTGTGTTAGTGAAATTATTAGTTACTAGCCTTCCTTTGCTGGTTTTTAGCTGTTTTTCCTTAACTTTAGTTATAAATGAACATCATAGCATAATGATTGAAAAACTCCTTCATTTTCTCGACAGTTTTGTAGTGAAACCTTTATAATAAATTGGCTTAATGGACAGTCTACTGTATTTTAGTTTTCTTGCTAAATAATCTTTGTTTTACCATTTTTTATTAAAATATTGAATGTGTAATTGAGACTGAAGTAGCTTTTTTGTCATCATAATTGGTGTTGTTTTTTTTTTTTTTTTTTTGGGGGGGGGGGGGAGCAATAAGAAATTTAATGTTGCTCACTTTTAGGGTAAACTTATGCTTGTTTAATCGTAGCCTTTGTGAAGTTGAGAAATTACTCATAATTACCTTGTGAGGTTGAAGTGTTGATAAAACATATAGTAATCTCCTTAAATTAGAGAATTTGATAAATCACTTTCTTGATCATCTCATGATTATTTTAAAAAAATTGAAAGTTGCATCTATGAAATTGGAAGTATCTTAACCACCAATATCATAAGCTAGTTGAATATTGCTACATTCCTTCAGGTGATGAAAATGCAAGCCCTGAGTAGCATTTACCTGTTTCCCACATAAATGCAGTATTTCTATTGAATGTTGAGTTATAATAATTCAGTAGGCAAATAATTTTTTTTTTTTTTTTTTTTTTTTTTTTTTTTTTTTTTTTTTTTTTTTTTATTCAAATACCTGATGTACTGTGGGCACTGCAGTCTCATGTGGAAACCACAAGAGCTACATAGGTCATTATTAGATTGAGATCTGTGTTGGAAGATTTTGCACTTGACAGTTACAACATACAGGATGCCTACAAAACTCATTTTCTATGAACACAACACAATACATATTAGTTTAGTGTCTGAGCACTAACCTTAACTTGACTACAACACATCACAGTTTAGTATCTGCTTACACCAAACTTCAACCTTTAAACCTGAAAACCAAAAAAAAATATTAGCGAGTATTTGTTTGGTAAAACAGAAATTTGTACCCATATATAAGCAGCAGTGACACAGATACATAAATTCATTACTAACTTGCAATTAAAATTGTTTCATTATTTTTAGAGTTAGCAGTATATAGTACATCTACAATTGATGATGAATAGTATAAATATTAACCCTTTCAGGGTCCGTCCCGTAGATCTACGGCTTTACGTTCAGGGTCCAAACCGTAGATCTACGTCATGAGCTCAGCTCACTCTGACTTTGCAGTGTTTTTTCGTATGTTTTTTATAGTTGTATTTGTGATTTCTTGGTCTCATTTGATAGAATGGAAGACATATTACAGAAATAGAGATAATTTTGATTGGTGTTAGCACTGGAAATGGCTTGAAACTGAGCTCAAAGTGGCGGAAATGTTAAATTTTTGCCGATGTTCAAGAGTAAACAAACGACCTCACACGTCTAATACACGCCAGCTGGTGGGTCTAATATACATTCACAAATGTGGTGATGATATTTATACAATTATTACAATATTGCATAACAGTAAATCTTCTATTTTTTGGTGTGAATAAAAATTCATTATGTGAATAAAAAATCAAAATGGAATTTATTTGTAAAGCCTCAAAACGTAACTAATGAACAGAGTTAATGTTAGTTTAGTGCCAGGAATACCTACATTGTTTATTCTGGACCCTATTTTGAAATTGGAATATTTTGAACTTTGTGTTAAATTGGCCAAATTACCAATTTCCGGTCACTTTATTTTGTAGTTGAAACAGTTGACTTGGCGATTTCTTGTGCTCAATCGATAGAATAGAAGTAATACTAGTGAAATAGCTAAGAATTTGGTCGACTGGAATAATGTAATTGGCCTAAAATGGGAGTCAAATTCGGCAAAATCGCCGATTCGTAAATATCGCTGACACATCAAAATTCACGAGAGCATAATTTCGTCAGTTTTCCATCAAATTTCGTACTTTTTGTTTTATTACATTCACAAAAAGATTCTCTACCATTTCATAAGAAAAAATAATTTTTTTTTTTTAAATTCTTGGACACTGGGGCACCACTTCAGATTTTGGCCTTGGACCCTGAAAAGGTTAAGTTCCTAGTCTATCTGGAATTATGAGGGGGAAGAAAACCTCAAGTTAAGTGAAGGCTAGCATGTAATAGGCTTAAATTTGAACTTGATTATATTGAATATAATCTGATGAACTGACACTGAAGTAGGCACCAGTGCAGTGAATTATGAATTAAACACAATAGCTATCTCCCATCAAGGTTGGGTGTCTCAAAAAGCAAGGAAACCCATTGCATTATTATTATTCAATTTTTGTCTTGCCAGAAATATGCTGAAATGAGTTCAGATGACCCTCCAAACTACAGCATCCTCACACCTGTCGAGTGCAAAGACACTGTATACTTTCCACCTTCAAGACTCTGGTCTGCCTAACCAGTTTTCCTGAATCCCTCTGTAAATGTTACCTTGTTCGTACTTCAGTGGCGCTAATAACCATAAACACTACTTGACTCCACTCATTCCGTTGTAACGCTCATACAAGCCTGTTGGATGTTAAAGCTCCTAACACTCGAAACCACCTTCACTCCCTCTAACTCTTCCTGGGGTGACCCCCCTTTCCTCCTCCCTTCCACCCCAGATTTACATGACCTCTTAGTCAATCTATAATACTCCATCCTCTCTAAATGCCCAAACCACCTCAACAACCCTCTGAATTATACTGGTATTCCCTTTATGCTCTGAATTCTTCATAATGATTGTCACACATTTAGGTCCCCTGCAACAATTAGTCTCTCGCTTGGTGCAAAACCCTTTCAACATTTGCTTAACACCTGATAAAATTTCTCCCCTTTACCTTCCTCCTATCCTCAAGTGCATAAACTCTTATTATAACCCACTTCTCACATCTCTTCTCTATTATAATCTACATAAATCTTAACATTAAATAATTATGTCCCCTCTTTTCTTTCCATAGCTCATTTAAATAAGAAGTGAATTAAGTGTAAGGATTAACAGATAGGATATAGTAGCCAGTGGCATTAACCCTTTCAGGGTTGAGAGGCCCCTCTCCTAAACTTGTTCTCAGGGTTGAAAATTTTTCGGAAAAAAAAACAATTATTTTTTCTTATGAAATGATAGAGAATCTTTTCCCGATCATAATGACACCAAAAGTATGAATTTTGACGGAAAACTTACGGAATTATGCTCTCGCGAAGTTAGCGGTCTTGACAATGTTTGCGCGTTGGCGATTTTGCCCACTTTGAGCCAATTCCAGTGTACTAGTCGACAAAAATCATAACTATTTCGCTAGAACTCCATTTTTTCTATCGAATGAGTACAAGAAACCACCCGTTTACCGAATTCAACTATCCAATAAAGTTGTCAGAATTTGGCAATTTTGCCAGTTTCACACAAATTTCAAAAGATGCCAATTTCCAAATAGGGTCCAGAATAAACAAGAAAGACATTCCTGGCACTAAAATAACATTTCCTCTGTTCATTAGTCACATCCCCAGGCCCCTCCTACATTTCTTTTCCTTTCCACTTTGAACTTTTATTCTCACAAAAAACTGAAGATTTACTGTTATGCAGACTACTGCATTAGTGTAGAAATGGTATAAATAATATCAGCGCACTTGTGAAAGAATATTAGACTCGCCAGTTGACGTATATTGGATGTGTGGCATGATTTGTTTACTTTTGAACTTCGGCAAAAATCGAAGATTTCTGCTCCTTTGAGCTCAATTTCAAGGTACTTTTCATTGTGAAACCAATCAAAATCATCTTAATTTCTGTAATATGTCTTCCATTCTATAAAATGAGACCAGGAAAACTAGAATACAACCATAAATACCATATGAAAATACAGTGCAAAGTTGCTGTTTTAAACCAAAAGCACGGTCAGTTTTGTTTTTTCTTGTTATGCACTGTGTGCTGCAGGATTTTTTTTATACTGTGTACGCTGACCACATAGACCCATTCTTTCATATGTAGGCCTACCAGCTTCCTCTCGCTAGATTTGAAGGCGCTAGAATTTACACGTACTGGTACGTTGGAAACCCTGAAAGGGTTAAAATGTAGTAATGAGGATTCTTGGGTAGTACAGTATATTAGTGTTTGAGTGGTCCACATTGCTTTGGCTCAAGCAAGGTCCTCAGTAGAGGAATAAATTGGGAGCAAGTTATAGGATGCTGTTTTCTAGGAAAATAAAGTTATTGCATTCATAATTGCATTGAAGCATGGTCATGCACCATAATTTTCTTTATTGCACATTTGTTTATACTTTATTGCATAAAATTTTTCTTTAAATTACTGTACAGTTATAGTATACTAATTTTTATACATTTTTAACAGTTGCTATACTGTAATATTATCCAATGGACAGTACTCTTATGCTGTATTTGGGTTATCATTTACACAATACATGCACATATATGGCTTACTATAAAATTAATTAAAGGGATAAATTTCCCACTCCTGTTAAGAATATGCACTAAGCATTATCTGCTATTTTTTTTTTTTTTTAAATTCGAACACGTTTATCACTGAAATTCACCATTCATTTACTGTATTTTAAAAATATATTGTAATAAAGCATGAAGGTACAGAATGGAAATTATTTATGATGCCACTTTTCAGGAGCAACTTTTGTGGGAGTCTCCCAGAAAGTTTTGTATTCTACAACACAATCTTCCTCTTAACAATCATATGGAGTTTACATCAGAGGGAGTCTGAGGAAGCCCCATTCATGGTCAGTCATTTTCTAGAGTTGTCTTCTAGTTAAAATTAACATACATGTATTGCTGTACCATTTGTATACAGTATTCTACAGTTAAGGATCATTTTAATATATTTCCAGGCAGAATGCATGTTTGTAAGTGTGTGTGTTTGTATGCGTTCATGTGTAAGTGGACTCCTAAAAAAATTTTTGTGCACGTGTGCACACATGCACTCGGTATGTACACACGTATTTTCTTATACGTGGTTGCAGGGGTCAAATCTCGGCCCTTAGCCCTGCCTCTTTACTGGTTGCTACTAGGTTAACTGCCTTCTGGCAGTTGTAAGCTATTAAGAAACACAGGAAAGGAAGAGTAAGGGTATACTCATTGTAAGTAGAATTTTGTAAGACTTTCTTGGTATTTTATATGTTAGGCAAAGAAAAGAAAATTGTCAGTGTACAACAGGCTTCCATTTTACACTTGTAAAACATGACGGTAGTGCCTCCCTGGATGGGTGCTGTCTACCAGCCTACCAAGATTAGAACACTTTGTCTCTTTCAGTAGCCATAATGTTAACAGTCTGTATCTACTTCATTTATTTATTTTCGGTTAAATTATTAATGATTAATTTCGCAGAAGGCAGTAAGGATTACGAGAAAAGCTTAAACGTTCTTGAATACAATTGAATACAACTTGTACTATTCTATTTACATTATTTCTGTTCCTTAATATTGCCTAAAGTGTGGTTGAGATAGTTTTTTCCTCCTTCCCTTCCTATCTAAATTTTTCTTTTTTCTTTCCCTCTTTTTCTTCACTTTTCTCCTCTTGTCTCCACTTTTGCTTCCCACTCTATCTTTACTGTTCCTTTCCCCTTTCTTTCACTTACCTTTGGAACAAATTAAATGTTTAAGCAGAATTTTGTGAAAATATTCATGTTGTACTATTTATGGCATTTCAAATTATATCCATATACAGTGTTTAAAACTAGATACAAAGTAAAATGTTGATAGTAATGAAGAAGTGAGACGGGTGAAGAGCAAGCTTTCATTTGTGTGAAGCATTGCCACAAGTCTTTAGACTGACTGGTCGAAGCTACTCAGAGTGAAACGTGTACTGTACTAGTCTTGCTCTGCACCTGTCCTCCAGGAAGCAAGGCTCATTAAGGCTTTGGTGGCTCTTTAACAACCCAGACAACAACCTGCATCTTTTCTTGATGTTTAAACTAATTTCTTGTTAATTTTGTCAGTTTAATACATAGATCATATTCTTCTTTCCAGGCTTTGTGCACAAATCTTTTGGCCATAATGTTTGATATAGTGAATCTTGCATATTATTGGCCCCACACTATAAGTAAGTTCCACACACTTTAAGACATTTATAATTCCTAGCAGTCTATACACTTCGGTTTGCCTTTTCTCCTTAGTTTTGTGGCACGTGTTATGATGTAGTGGTGTTCATTTTTTTATCCATTTGACTTGTCTGTGCTTTTGTCCATTGAATATTTGGTTGCATTGTTATAACTAGATTTTTTAAAAAACCTTTTGTTTAATTTTGTAGCAATATTACCTAAAAAAATAATGTAGGTAAAAGACATGTTTGCTGTAATAGACATTTAAGGAAAACGTTCACCAAGTGGCTTCCTCAGGCCTAATACAAAGAAGCTAGAACAAATTGTATATATATAGTGCAAAAAATCAGGTCAGCATAGATTAAAAGTGTGGTAACACATTAATTAGCAGCAACATGTTGGATTGTGTTTACATAGTAGTTTTGACGAATATGCGAGTGAGGCCTCCTACAGTGCTTCCTGGTGCCATATAGTGTCATCTTATGGCAATGTCACTATTGGGTAGCTGTTGTTTGGCCAAGGTTCTGGATAAGCTATAGCTGTCTGTTTTTTGTGGTATGGTATTAGTGATGACTATCATTGCTGCTTTCAAGGACTTGGATCAAATCATTTTTGGGAACTACTATTTGTTTGGCTTCATTAAACCTTATGATGTACCCTTGTGTTATGTGTTGAATGCAGGCATAATTTTTTTTTATTCCTACAGCAAGCATTTTTATCTCGGTCTGAATTCAGGTGTTCTTGATATTTTGCTTGTGTACTTTTTGTAACAATCTCCACAAGGTATGATGTATACACCAGCCTTAATGGTCACATTGTCTGCATGCTTGCTCTCGTTTTTCACTAAACCTTTGATAGGGGTTGATCCGTTGGTGGCTACTTTAATGTGACCATGGCAATATAAACACAAATGCAGTATAATGTGATCCTTTATTGACTACGTTTCGCCCACACAGTGGGCTTTTTCAAGTCACAGACAGAACTACCTGGGGTGGAAGGAACGCGAGTATTTATAGTCCGGCTGAGGTCAGGTGAAGAATGCTGCATCTGATAATGTACCGAGTTGGGTTGTAGAGTCTAAAAACTTGGGTAGCTTGGAAAGGAGACTGGACAAGCTACCCAAGTTTTTAGACTCTACAACCCAACTCGGTACATTATCAGATGCAGCATTCTTCACCTGACCTCAGCCGGACTATAAATACTCGCGTTCCTTCCACCCCAGGTAGTTCTGTCTGTGACTTGAAAAAGCCCACTGTGTGGGCGAAACGTAGTCAATAAAGGATCACATTATACTGCATTTGTGTTTATATTGCCATTGTGTCGGTATTTTATACCATTTATTTCCATCCTTTAATGTGACCATCTGTTATAAGTAGGGTAGAAGCCTCATTACTAAATGGTAGAATTTTGTATTTGGTGGGTGGATCAATTGTTGTCTGTTCCTGTTGAGGACGAATGTGGCTCTCTTCCTGTAGTTATTAACGTTTGGTGGGATGTGAAGCTGCAGGAAAGACTGTTTAAGGTACTGTATTCACATTTTTTTCTAGGTATTGTGGGCTGGAGATCCTAAAAGCTCTTAACCATCCATCAAATTCATTTGTTTTCCTAATTAGTAATATGAATTTAAAGTATCAGTTCTAATGACACGACAGTAGCCACTAATGCCTCGACCTCCATCAGAGACTAAGTAAAAAACAAAGAGCAAGCATAGAAACTACCACCATCAAGGCTGGCATATCCATCATACCTTGAGGAGATTACAATTAACCAAGTCAGATACCAAGAACGCTTGAACTCAGACTTTGAAAACATCAAAAATGCCTTTAGAACGGATGATCAAATTAACCCCTACTTAAAGCACACCCACAGAATAACACGGACACATCATGTTCAATGAAGCCAAACAAATAGTAACCCCCCCCCCCCCCCAAAAAAAAAAAAAAAATAGACAAGTGCTTGGATGCATCAAGGATAGTAGTCACCAACACCATACTGTAGATATCAAGCATATATAGCATACCTTGATCCCTAACTGAATGATTTCTGTCCAATTGTGACCACTGTAAGATGAAGGCTGTACTACACCAGGAAGTCCTGAGGAGGCATACTGGCTTCGTTAGTGTATTTATCCAACCTATTTTTAAAGATGACCCTAACTTAACCAAGGGTAACTATCTCTTGCACTTCATGTACTGCTTGTTCTAACTTTTCTATATTAAGCCGATCCTTGTGGGTTTAGCACTTTCTCTGATTATTATAATCTGTATTAAGCCTGAGGAAGCCAATCATGGTGAAATGTTTCCTTAATATCTTGTTCAGTGCATACATCTTTTATCTACAACTTGTTGGTATCACCATACCAGTTCTGCCCCTTTAAAAGGATTTTTTAGTTCAGTAGGTCCAAGGTTAAGGTTGTCACTTGGCTTCCCTTTGTGATTTACAGGTGATTTTCACTTAATAGACAGATTTATTCCACAAACCATATATTGAATTCAATTTCTTTTCTGTATATGGAAATATTGGTATTTTTCCTTAGACTACTGTTATATAATTGAAGATGCATTCCTGGAATAAAAAAAAATAAGATGTACGTACTGTATTGTAATTCCCTGCACAGACACCAAGATGTGTTCCAAGAAAATCTATTAGGTGAAATTTACATCAAGTGAACCTCATTTTTCCATAGACACATACCTGAGACTTGCAGGGATATTCTGAGAATATATTACATTTTTGTTAATTTCTTTCAAAGAAACTGAAATAGGTTTACGTTTGGTCCATAAACAGAAACTATTTTTAGACTGCAAAATTCGATGAAAGACTTAAATTTATTTTTTGTTTTATGTTCTGCTATTTCAGTACAGAAGTTTTTTGTTCGATTTCAGTACAGAATTTATTAAGTATTTGTGTGTATTGCTTGTATTTTTTAGTAATATCTCAAGCTCTTATGCTCGGTCATCTCCCAAGTCATTGCACTACTTCTGTTTAAATCTCTAATGAATTTTTTTTTTTATCATTACTTGGTGTCATTATGCCTTTTTTTCATAATTTGTTTCAAAATCTAATTGTACACAGTATTGTAGGATTGAAAATTCCATATTCAGGATAACTAGATTATGGAGAAGTAGGTCGTATTCTTCTTAAAATCGCCTGGTTTAAGTAATTCTTCTGAATAAAGAAAAATGGTTTTCTTAAGGAATTTAAATGCATTAAGTAGAGTACTTTATCATTGCAAGCTTTGCATTAATAAGGAATCTAACTTGCTAATAGCATAAGTTGTGAAATACCCTATACAATATATAATGAATTGAAACCAAAATTATCTTTATTTCATACTATTACAGGTGGAATGAAACGCTTTGGAGCAGCCATGGCCATTTTGAACTTATTGCTACGTCCTTTGACCAGCTTTATGCTCTATCGAATTGTGCAGGACCGAGCTGGATCATATGGAACCTTTGGTTTGCCATCAAGTTTTGAGGGCATCTTTGGTTGGTATTGCACATTGTTATTAATGATTGATAGGTGGTGTAACAGAAAGAAAAGATTATTGATATGGTTACAAATCATCTCCTGGGATGTATGTATAGTACTGACATAATTATTATAGATTTTTTAAAATTTGATATTTTTCTACTAAAAGGTCAATTAAACCAGTTTCACTGACTGATCCAGGATTTATTTTGATACACCAGTACAGGTCAACTATTTTACATTGATTAATATATGGGTTGATCACCCCTAGCATCGATTAATATATGGGTTGATCACCCCTAGCATCTATAAGTGCTTTAACATGCATGGACATGTAGGTGTGGTAGCTCGCCCGGCTACCACGCCTACACGAAATATACGACATTTTAAGTGCCCCAGAGCAATTATCATTATTATTATCAACATACCTTGTTCACTGAGTTTAATCATTTCTAAGAACTACCCTTAGATGCCATCATAAACGAGAGAGAATGAGTAAACTTAGAGACACACGGAAAATGTAAACAAACAGATGAACACACATTAATTCCTGTCCACTTAAGGTTCAGGAAAGACAGCGCTTTAACTTGTATTGCTGGGCACACCACTTAAAGGGTACAAGAAGACACAGAACATCCAGACCATGGGACAACCTTGGTAGCCACAGCCACTCCAGAGAGAGGTTTTTTTAATGTCAGGAAGGAAAAAAGCTGGCAGGAAATGACAGAAATCATACACCAACTCCAATCATTTCTGGAGTGGAATCACAGTCGATTGGCTCCACTCCAACACAACAGATATTAGTGCCAGGTAAAAAAAAGGAATCCCCAATACCACCAATCTGACGACATTCATCATTGCAAATATACAGGGTCTAAAGCCAGCAACAAATAAAATGCCTTTCATCCATGGACTGCTTATGGATTCAAATGCAATGTTCGTGGTTTTCATGGAGACCCACATAAAGGATCACTTGGTCAATGAAATATGTATCCCAGGTTACAACCTATACAGATATGACAGAGTAAACAGGCAAAAGGAGGGGTAGGTTGGCCTGTATATCAGTCACGTGTATGCTCAGAACTGCTAAATGCCTCAAATGTAGTTGAAGTTTTAGCAGTAAAGATCGAGAACCAAAACCTGGTCATTGTGGTTGTATACAAGCCTCCGGATGCAACGTCCCAACAATTCCAGGAACAGATTTTGAAAATGACCACTGTTTGGAAAATCTTCCAGCTCCTGCCCCCAACATCTTAGTCCTGGAGGATTTCAGCCTAAGGCACCTAAAATGGAGGAATATAGCAAATAATATTGTAGCAGTGATAACACCAGGAGGCAGCTCAGATGAAAACTTGCACACACATGAGCTTTTAAATCTCTGCACCAAATTCACCTTAAACCAGCAAATAATAGAGCCTACAAGATTGGAGAATATGCTGGACCTCATCTTCACTAACAATGATGATCTGATACAAAATGTCATCACATCAAAATCAATATACTCAGATCACAACATAATAGAGGTCCAGACATGTATGCGGGGAACCCCAGACTGACACAATACAACGAGGGAGCCTTCTCCAAATTCAATTTCAATAAAAAAAACATAAGGTGGGACCAATTAAACCAAGTCCTAAATGATATAAACTGGGAAAATAGACCAAGCAACATGGATCCTACCCTATGTCTAGAACAAATTAACTCTGGAACTTGAGGTATGCTTAGGGCATATTCCCTTAGCCCTTTCAGGGTCCACAGGCCCTCTCAGAGACTTGTTCTCAGGGTCCCCCAAATTTCAAAAAAAAAAAAATATTTTTTATGAAAAGATAGAGAATCTTTTCCCGATCATAATGACACCAAAAGTATGAAATTTGATGGAAAACTTGCGGAATTATGCTCTCGCAGATTTAATGGTCTCGACGATGTTTATGCATCGGCGATTTTGCCCACTTTGAGCCCTATTTTCGGCCAATTCCAATATACTAGTCGACAAAAATCATAACTATTTCGCTAGAACTCCATTTTTTCTATCGATTGAGTACAAGAAACCACCAATTTACCAATTTCAACTATCCAATACAGTTGTCAGAATTTAGCAATTTTGCCAATTTCACACACATTTCAAAAGATGCCAATTTCTAAATAGGGTCCAGAATAAACAGACATTCCTGGCACTAAAATAACATTTCCTCTGTTCATTAGTCATGCCCCCAGGCCCCTCTTGCATTTCTTTTGCTTTCCACTTCGAATTTTTATTCTCACAAAAAAATAGAAGATTTACTGTTATGCAGACTACTGCATTAGTGTAGAAATGGTATAAATAATATCGACGCACTTGTGAAAGAATATTAGACTCGCCAGTTGATGTGTATTGGACGCTTAGCATGATTTGTTTACTTTTGAACTTTGGTAAAAATCGAAGATTTCTGCTACTTTGAGCTCAATTTCAAGGTACTTTTCATTGCAAAACCAGTCAAAATCATCTCAATTTCTGTAATATATCTTCCATTCTGTACAATGAGACCAGGAAAACTAGAATACAACCATAAATACCATACGAAAATATAGTGCAAAGTTGCTGTTTTAATCCAAAAACACGGTCAGTTTTTTTTTTTTTTCATTACGCACTGTGTGCTGCAGGATTTTTTTATACTGGGCACACTGACCACATAGACCCATTCTTTCATATGTAGGCCTACCAGCTTTCTCTCACTAGATTTGAAGGCGCTAGAATTTATGCGTACTAGTACGTCATGGACACTGGTGCGTAAGCTGTACTAGTACGGCCAAAACCCTGAAAGGGTTAAGGAAAAGGAGGAGATGTAAACTAGAAAGAGAAAAGAGAAAGGCACTCCCTATACAGACGAAGGCAAAGAATAACAGAGCGGCTACAAGACACCAATATATCTGCAATATGTAGGGAGAGACTGGTCAGAGAAATAGTACACTTCGAACTAAAGCTAAAGGAATCTTACAAGAGTCAAGAAATGCGAGAAGAACTAAAAGCCATTTATGAAATTGAAAGAAACCCAAAATATTTCTTTTCTTATGCCAAACAAAGTCTAGAACAACATCAGTATTAGGCCCCTACTTAAACGGGATGGGTCCTACACAGATGACAGCAAGGAAATGTTGAGCTACTCAAGTCCCAATATGACTCGCTTTTAGTGAGCCACTAACCAGACTGAGAGTCGAAGACCTAAATGAATTTTTTATGAGAGAATTTGTTAGACACCCATCTGATATTATCCTGATGCCAAATGACTTCAAAAAGGCGATAAATGACATGCCTATGCACTCTGCCCCAGGCCCAGACTCATGGAACTTGGTATTCATCAAGAACTGCTTTTAACATCCTGTTGAGAGGGAGCATGGACACTGGGGTCGTCCCACAGTTACTAAAAAGACATAGCCCCAATAAGTGTCAGGGGCTCATGACTGTTTAACTGCCTCCCAGCATACATCAGGGGGGATTAACAATAGATCCCTGGCCGTCTTCAAGCAGGCACTGGACAGGCACCTAAAGTCGATACCTGACCAGCCGGGTTGTGGCTCGTACGTTGGATTACGTGCAGCCAGCAGTAACAGCCTGGTTGATCAGGCCTTGATCCACCATGAGACCTGGTCACAGACTGGGCCATGGGGGGCATTGACCCCTGGAACTCTCTCCAGGTATACTCCTACAAGCTGCCTGGCTACCATATCTCGTAATTGTCAATTTGTTCTATGGTTGTACGTATTATGTTTGTATGATATATAGCGTGTTTCTTATATAATTTTGAAAAAATATCATAGATGGATTAATGAAAATGTCTATGTTATCGTAATATACAAAATTTAAAGTGCCTCAGAGCGATTATTATTATAGCGTCTTCAGTATTAATGACACACACTTAGTGATTTTAATGTGTACTTGCACACCAGCACAATTTGTAAGTTTATTTAGGTACAGGTACACATAAGTGCAGTTATCAGAGTATGAATAGTATACCTAGTAACTTTAAAATGCTTGAAATTTTGAAACATTTCCAGACATAATTGAGAGATGTGGAGCTCAGAGGATGTAAACAGAGTGGCATGTGGACACTGTAATAGTGAATCAGGGAGCTGTATAAACTAATTTTTGGTCATAATGAAATGTCCATATTAGTGAATCACTGCAAAGTGAAATGCTGTAAAGCTGGACCCTCCTGTATTTGAAAACTGGTGCATAGTGAAACACCATAAAATGAAGTGCTTCAAAGTGGGGCCTTCCTGTACTATACATGGCATATTTGGTGTGGTTAAAACATTGCTCAGATGGTACATTTGATATAATACTTTATTCAACGGTTTCTGTGAAATTCTGTTTGTAATATAACATTTTTATTTAAGGAGGTCCCCGACGCAGCCCATATGAAGATATTGACCAGGCTCCTCAGAATAACCCTTCAACAGGCATGGACCAAGAAAATGTCCCCACATCATCACCCAGTGAGAATCTCTTTACCACTTAAGCAGGAAGGTTTCAAAATTTTCCAGCCTTACAATGGCATCATGTTAATCAAAGGTATCCAGCAGAATTTATTTTGTGTGTATTAGATTTTCTTGCATTAGCATTACAAAACTGGCTAAAGCTACTATTTTTCTTTTGGTTACTGGTACCTGAAGTGTGTAATAAAATATATGAACTAGGATGGCTTTGTACATACTGTACATAGCAAAATTAAATATGAATGACCTTAAATTAGTAAGTACAGTATTTCATTGGTTGCTTTTAATAAACTGAGCCAATATATTTTCTCAAGACTAAACTTATTACAGACATTAAGGAAATTGCCACACACAAGCGAGATGCTGCACATCTAAATTCAAACAGTCACCTGGAAATTTCAATTTAAGACTCTTAATGATTTAAATATATCTTTAACTGTAAGTTTTTGTTTTTAGGCTACCTCATAGTTGACTATTTTCTTATGGAATCCATTAAAGGTGTTTTATTTAATGTTCATTCATTTTTAGCTGTATGTATTATCCTCTGCCATTTTAGTTCATTCATTTGCTCTCATTATGTCTCATGCTAATCCTAATGGATTCATTAGTCCTTGCAAGTTATTCCATTCTTTGAGAAGTTGGAAATGTGTGTATAATTTCTGCATTCACTGTTTCATACCCAGAAGTTAGTATAGGAGGAAGTTATTGACTGAATACTTTCATTTTACAACAGAGGTATATTTTGAATATAAAAGTTTCTCAAAAGCATGCATGTCTATTTTGTCTTCTGATATCACTTGACTGGCATTTGTTAGGCAACACTAAATTTTCCTAAATACAGTGGAACCTCTACTTACGAGTTTAATCCGTTCCATGACCTTGCTTGCAATTGGATTTGCTCGTTTGCAGAGTCAATTTTCCTCATTTAGATTAATTGAAATGAATGAATTCATTCCAGTGGAATTCCAGGCACGAGAAAATACTTTAATAATTTCCCTAATATCAACTCTACTGCTTATTTATCTATCACAATTCATGTAATATGACATAATAAACAATATTAATAACATAGAAACATGATATATACACTAGAATGAATAAAATACATGTCATTAGGTATGTGGCTAGTGGTGGTGACAGCAGCCATTGTTGGGGTTTATAGGGCCACCACAGTGGCCATTCCTGCTCCTGGCTACATGTATAGAGAACCTAGGATAACCCAGAAAAGTCAGACAGAATGACTTTGCTACTTAATTGCTACACTCTTAATGCTACATTTAATTGCTAATCTGCCACTGCTGCTTCATGTTGTCTGCCACTGTTACCTCATGATGTCTGCCACTGCTGCTTCATGTTGTCTGCCACTGCTCCTTCATGTTGTCTGCCACTGTTACATCATGATGTCTACCATTGATGTAGCTCAATTTTAAGGTACTTTTCATCGTGAAACCAATTAAAATCATATTTATTTTTGTAGTATATTTTCCATTCTATTACACGAGACCAAATAAAACGAGAATACAACCATAAAAAACATACAAAAATACAGTGGACCCCCGGTTAACGATATTTTTTCACTCCAGAAGTATGTTCAGGTGCCAGTACTGACCGAATTTGTTCCCATAAGGAATATTGTGAAGTAGATTAGTCCATTTCAGACTCCCAAACATACACGTACAAATGCACTTACATAAATACACTTACATAATTGGTTGCATTCGGAGGTGATCGTTATGTGGGGGTCCACTGTATACCGCTAAGGGGAGGCTAATGGCTGAGAAGTGAACTCCGTTATTTATGACCCAATTTCTTTCATTTTTGGTGTACGTTAAGAAGCATCTTTTCATCATACTTTGCCCAAGTTTCAATAAGATAGTCCAACAAACAACTGAGATTCAGTTCCCTAGATCAAGAGCAAGAGCCCCCTCACCAGTGTCAATTAACCTCCCTTGATGCCTGTTCGCATCTTGAAATTTTGCTCGCGTCTGGAAGCAAAAAATCGACCGAACAGATGCTCGTATGTGGAAAAACTCGCACATGGATGCACTCGTAAGTAGAGGTTCCACTGCATACAGATTCATTTGTGTACTTATGACAGTTTTATTTTGTTAACCTGATTATGCTGGTAATTTGTAAATGTACCAAGAATCACCTTAGCATTTAATAAGTTCTATAATTTTACCCTGTTACTGGCTTCATTCAGCTTGTATTTGGGTTTGTTGCAAATAAGGCCAATTTAAGAAACTAGAATACAGATGGGATACCACAAACTGAGTTTTATCCTTGTAACTAAAAATAACCAAATATATCTAAGGTGTATAGAGTAAAGGCCACTGTTTTTAAACCCACTTCACATTTACAGTTTATTGACTTCCGGCAATGCTTTGAAGAAATGTGACTGAAACACTACGTATTTATAATTTTTCATTTTTTTATAATCTGCTTATAGATGTCACTTTCTTGTCACTGGTAATGATTTTTTTTTTTAAAGTATCCTGGTCCATTATTCCCTGCATTAAGTGCAAACATGGTACTAGAAGTTTATTCCTCTTAAATCATTGAACTACAATTTTGCTACAGTTGAACTGTTTGCCACATTCTTAGATTCCTCTCACTTCAGCAAACTCTGCTCATCCTAGCATGTACTGCTATCTCTTAACCAGAGTTAAGTGGCCAAACAAAAAACACCAGCTGGGACCCCCACTAGGCACCCATGTTGGTATTTAAATATCTTGTACTCTCTCCTTGTTTTACATAAAACTAACAGTAGAGATGGATACTGTAACTTGCATACAATACAGTGGTTATGTAAAATATGGTGGGTAAATACAGTGCCCTCTGGAGGAGGGGTGGGGATATTTCAATTTGCAGGATCATTTGAATTGTGATGTCTGCAAACTTCTGGTATGACAACTATTGAATGACTGATGATGAATGTGTTTGCTATTTAGGAATGCCAAAGTATCAGTAGGTATCTAATTTTGTGGTATCAGTACTGGCCTAAAATTTAGTATGGATTTTGGCAAAAATTTTGGTATCCTATCCCTCTTGCTATTTTGGGTTGTAATTCCTTGGTAGGCAGTGGCTGGCATGTTAAAAGAAAAATGTAACTGTTTTTGATTGAAAGATGCACCTCTTTACAGGGTAATTTTTTTTTTTAACCCTATGCTTATACCGTAGATGATGATGCAGACAGGAATGAACCTGATACATAATTATGTAAAATAAGCCCAATCTGAGATAGGGTTAGGATATTATAAAATGCTTTATATACATTAGTAACAGAGAAATAAACATTAAACTCAAAAACTATTTTTTTTTTCAGATTGAGGAGGGGAAATATTTAAGCCTAGTTGTTGTGATTGTCATTATATGTTTCAAATGTTTTAAGAAAAGTAGGGGAAATAAGAACTGAACACAAGGCTAACTGAAATATTTTTTTATTTGCAATTTAAAAATAGAAAATTTAGGCATAATTGTGTTGTAGGCTATTACAAAAAAAAGTAATTTTTTAGATGGTAGTTTACTCATTTTGTAATAAAGAGTTTGGGATAGAGATATACACACAAAATATTTATCATTTTAATTGCATATAAAGATACTAATCTTTGGTCTAGGGGTATTATAAAATAATCTTTAATATATTATCTGATTAAAACCTATTATCTTTGATACATATATATACAAGCTACAGTAATAAATTATAATTAACATCCTTAAATAATTAATTCACACAGGTACAACTTTCCTGACACTACTGTGTCATGGTACATATATCTTTCTTTCAACACACCGGCCGTATCCCACCGAGGCGGGGTGGCCCAAAAGGAAAAACGAAAGTTTCTCCTTTTGCATTTAGTAATATATACAGGAGAAGAGGTTACTAGCCCCTTGCTCCCGGCATTTTAGTCGCCTCTTACAACACGCATGGCTTACGGAGGAAGAATTCTGTTCCACTTCCCCATGGAGGTAAGAGGAAATAAACAAGAACAAGAACTAGAAAGAAAATAGAAGAAAACCCAAAGGGGTGTGTATATATATGCTTGTATATGTATGTGTAGTGTGACCTAAGTGTAAGTAGAAGTAGCAAGACATACCTGAAATCTTGCATGTGTATGAGACAGAAAAAAAAAGACACCAGCAATCCTACCATCGTGTAAAACAGTTACAGGCTTCAGTTTTACATTCACTTGGCAGGACGGTAGTACCTCCCTGGGCGGTTGCTGTCTACCAACCTACTACCTAGGATGGTACATATATATACATGTTAAAATAATAGATTATAAGTAACATCTTTGTACATCTATCTATGAATCATGCAATAATAAATTTTAACCAACTCATCATGACCCTATAGTGCATCAGGTGTCAGTGTCGCTGCATTCTTCGTGTCTCACGACACTACCTATCCTAGTATCATGACACCTACAACTCCGTGTCACAAGACACCCTTGTCTCTGTGTAATGACGCTCCTTCTCTACCGTGTCAGCTGACGCCCTTTTCTCTCTGTCACACGACACTCCTGCTCTACCGTATCACACGATACCCTTATCTCTGCGTCATGCATGCCTTTTCTACCATGTCACACGACACCCTTATCCCTTTGTCATAACACTCAGTCTCTGTATTTCCGTTTCTTAGCAGCATCTGACACTTCAACACAAGCTGGGTTACATGACAGTTCACCCTACCACACAGGATACAACTCTGACACTACTGTGTCACACTGTCATACTACATTATTTACATGGAGTTTCAGTATTATAACACTACTGTGTCACACGACACCCTTATCTCTGTGTCACACGACACTTTCTCTACCATGTCACACGACACCCTTGTCTCTGCATCACACACACCTACTCTACTGTGTCACACGACACCCTTATCTCTGCGTCACACACACTTGCTCTGTGTCACACGACACTCTTATCTCTGTTATAACACTCTACCCGCATAGCGTCTTTCTTCAGAAGCCAGCTGTCACATGACACTATACAACAGCGTCAGCATGACTTGGCCCGCAGTTGACTAGAGTCGGTGATGAGTTCGTAGACATCACCTACAATTGTACTCCTTGAGGTAGTCTTGTAAATACTCTCTAAGGCCTGTAGATGTACACCGTAAGGTTGTCTGGTGAGTACTATTTACTGCCTCTAAGACCAGTTGATATACACCGTAAGGTGGTCTGGTGAATACTGCTTGCAGAACACACTATGTTGCGAGTTCACGGAATGCGGTCGTCAAGTAACCGAGGCCATCAGACTCGGTGAGCTGCGGTGAGCTCTTCTTCTAAAGCCAGTAGAAGCCAGTAGATATATACCATAAGATGGTCAGGAGAATACTCTCTACTGCCAGTAGGTGTATACTGTAAGGTGTTCTGGTAAATACTGCTTCTAAGGCCGGCTCAGCAGTCCCCACATTGGGTTTGATGATGTACCCTTGGTACTGCTGGCTGGCAGGTTAACAATTTAACCACTAGTTTGGCAGGAGGCTGCCACAGGCTGTATCTTATTTTTGCAGTGTTTCAAAAAATATAAAGGTGAATTTCAAAAGGAATCAGTTTTATTGACAATTCTACCCAAATAAATTAGCTTTGTGCATCCTGCCATTTGTTTAGTTGTGTGCTTTTCTATATAACAAGTTTCAAGTTGTGTTCTATTTTGAAGTGAAGAAAAACATTCCAGTGGATTTAAAATGTCATCCTCTCTAGTCATATCTTGTACACTTGGTTCATTCAGCAAAGATTAATTTGCTGAAGTCAAACTTATATTTGTGTTTTGCATCACAAAATTAATGTATTTCATTGATTTATGTAAATTTTAGTAAGGTTTGGATAGGATATTGTTTTGATGCAAAATTAAAAGTTTGCATACCATGTGAAGAATTTGAAGTATAGAAATTAAGACAGTACTGTATTGAGTTCTGAAAGTAACAATTCAGAGGGCATAGGAGAGAACATTGTTGAGGTGTTTTGGGAATTTAAAGAGGATGGAGCATAATAAGGTGATCAGTAGGGTTTATAAATTCAGTGTGAAAGGAAGAAAGGAAAGGGGGTAGCAACCATTCTAGGAAGGGTTGGAGGGTATGAAGGATGTATTTAAATGATAGGGGCCTGAGCATTCAGTAGGTGTGCTAGGTTATAGGATTGGAAGTGCTGTTGGGGTGAGGGCAAGGTAATGTTTAAATTCCTGAAGTCTAGGCACAGTGCCAGCACTTTGAAGGAGGGATGGGGTTATTACATTTAGGAAGGTCATTTGAATCATATCTGCACTTGATGCTGCCAAGGGACTCCTGATCCAAGGACTGGGCACATCTTCTCTTCACTTAAATTGAACCTGATTACCTTTGATCCAAGGAACTGGGCACATCTTCCTTCACTTAAATTGAATCTGTTTGCCTCCCATTACCCCAGGCACTGTTTGACACCTAAAGATTTATGTATCTTCCCCTCCCCCATAAATGTAATAATAAGCAAATAGGTTAATTATCCTAAATGTACAACATAGCCTCTCTTCACTTAGCGATGTACTCGTTTGCCGATGACTCAGACTTATGACGGGCTTTCTGACCAATATGCATTCCTAAATAATGTATGTTAGAGCTGATTTCCTTTGTTCTGTTTATTACAATATACAGTACACTACTGTATAAACATTTAAAAATATACTAAACATGTTATAAATGGTGCAAAGGTGACATTAAAACAATATCAAGCATGGTTCACACAAACCCACTACCATTATAGTATGCTCCTTGCTTAGCGATGAACTCGTTTACCGATGTCATCTTAGGAACGGAACTCTGTTGTTAAGTGAGGAGAGGCTGTACTTAATATACTGTTGTAAATAACCAAAAGCATAATAAATTCGTGAATGCCATGGAAAACATTTTCCTCAGTTAAATATTACAACATGGTTTTACCACAGAGTTGTCAAATTGTCAACTAAATATTTTATTTCTTTCAGTTTATTAATATGAAATGCAAATTAGGTCGATGTATAGCATAATGTAAACAAATATTATTCAGTTTATTATGGTGTGGAGGATGCTGAATATAGTTGCATGGGAGAGAGGACACGTGCAGTAAGCTAAGCAGGTTAAGGAGAGGAGAAAAAGGATGTCACTTATCCCCACCCCACCCCCCGTCCCTCTTCTGCCAACCACTGACGTCTACTAGACATGCATGAATAACATTAACAGTATTCAATATTGACAAGTTGATGAATTAGATAACATGCAACACCTGGTTATCTTTATTTTGAAGACATTTTGCCAGCATGTGGCTTTGTCAATACAGAGCTTGTTAACTGGAGACAGTAGAGGGTGAAGTAATTAGCTTCTCAGCCTTGAAGGCATTAAAGTTAGAGGTAGTGTTTACTACCTTGACCTTGATGAATTTGAAGCATAGGCAAGAAGATACATTCATATACTACAATCAGATGAGGTGTGGCAGTGGGCAGGACCCACTAGTGGAAGTAGGTCATGCCTAAAAGTTGCGCATGAGGATGTCCTCTACAACTTATTTGCTAACCTCATCCATAAGCACCACCTCAGCCACTCTTCTGACTAAGAATCAGAGCAATTTACACCTCATCTCTCCACCACAAGAAGGTAAGTAAAATTACTGTAAACTATGTACAGTGCTATAAAATTACTGTACTGTAGTACTACATGTTACAATACAGTAACAGTATTCGTAGTGTCCAGTTATCTTCTGAACCAGTGGACTAAGTCTGCTAATTCAGCAGAGAACTGGATAATCATGAAAATTATATTGTAATTTGGAAATTTTGGACAATTAGCAATATCATACACCACCTCCATTTAACCCTTAAACTGTCCAAACGTAGATCTACATTCACGCGCGTAGCTCTCTGAACGTAGATCTACTTATTTTTTTTTTTTTTTTTTTTACATAATGTAAAATCGAATGTAGATCTACATTTGGAGCATTAAGTGCATGAACGTAGATCTATGTTTGGACAGTTTAAGGGTTAATTAAGTTTTAATTGACTAGTGCACTGTATGCAAGACGAGGTAAATTATAATAATCTTGGGGGAAAAAAAAGTGAGCCCTATAAAATATATGCATACACTGTACAGTATTCAACAAGTGTAATTTGTAAAGTACTGTAACTTTTTAATTTATAGTATTTTGTCCTAGGGTATTGGTCAAGATAATAAAATTTTCATAAACATTCTGAATATAAATTTGAAGAAAAATAAGTAACAGATCATAGTCATCATGTGTAGTTTTTAATGGGTTATCACAGTAGGATAATTCATGAAGATTAAGAAAAGTATTTCATATAGAGTACGGTGTTAAGGTATTATATTTAAACTTGGTCCGCAATGCAAGTTTTGTTTTTTATAGAACCCTTTACTATTAAGGTGAGTAAATCATATTGTCACTTATTTTGACCATTTAATTTCATCTGATGCATTTTTAGTATGCCTAACTTGTCAAGTTTGATCTTACTTTATTTTTAAAGATATTAATTTGTAACTGAGCTTGTGCCTTGTTAGGCTATTGAAACATTTTGAATACTACTTTTACAGTTTAAAAGTTAATATATACTGTACTGTAATGCTTAAGCCAATAAAAAATAGATAGTATTGCTTTGTCTTTTTTACCACTGAGATTTAAAATGAGTTTCAGTACTTGACTGACCTGTATGGATGAGGGAGATGCCATTATTAGAGGAAAGAATTTTGTGAAGAAAAAAAAAATCCCAGTGAAGGTTTGCATGGATTCTTCCTTAATGCAGGAATGCTGCTTCATTCCTGCTTTCCTTGTATGGGTTGTCAGCTTCATTTTCCAGGGGTAGTCCCTCCAAGGATTGTTTGGATGGTCAAGTGCTTGGATTGAAAGATGTTCGGGGGAATAGGGTCCTACACTGTTGTGGGCAAGCACTGTGCTTGAGGCTTTCTGACAAAAGTGCACATATCAACCTGCACTTTGTGTTTTCTTGACGGAGGGTGCTTAAATGTCTTGATCACTTAATCCAGTGGTTGTATTGTAAATGTATTTGGTGGAAAGAAAAAATGCTACTTTCATTTTCGAGTTCGCATCCTGCAAGAGTTAAAGATGACTAGAAATTATCAGCGAGGAGAACCTTGAAAGAAAGGTTCTTTCTGGCAAGGTTTATTTTAACCAAAGGCACAAAATAAGTCTTGAACCACTCAAAATGAGTGTGATCTTCCAGGCCTACATTATGACTAAAAGGGTGTCACAAGTGCAACTAATGTGACATTTTATTGTGGCAATGTTTTGCTCTCCAGGAGCTTTGTCACATTAGTTGCACTTGTGTCCTTTTCCTTTATATATTGTCGGTAATTCTACCAACATTATTACACAAAAGGATGTCCTCCCTTCCAGTGTAATAACTTAATGCATTGTGCAGTGTACAAGCTTTTTTTGTGTAAGAGGGTCATGCTCCCTTGTTGGACTGTCTACTTGGGAGATGACATACAAGGCTATAAGGATAGCATGGTGGGGTTGGCAAAAAAGGGGGTTAAAATAAAATGGTGTTACGTTGAGTGTCTTGGTTGAAATTGTTGTGGATTGGCAGCTGGTCAACCAGGATCTTAGCCCAAGGATATGACATAAGTATTTCCACACAGTCCGTGCTATTGGAGGATGGTGATGGCACTGCATTACTGGAGGCAATACCAACCATGAGTGACATGCTTTAGGATAAGAAATGAAACCAGAGGACACTCGAGAGGGTATGAACAGGAAACGGTAGCCATTCTAGTGAAGGTAAGAGGATATTTTGGCAAGTTTCACAAGGAGTAAAGGAATGGAGGTTGGCTGGTATCCTCAAGAGATAACCTTTCAGAGATAAGACAGTTATGATTGCATACTAGTATATTTCTGTAGTCCCAGGGCAACACTGTACGTATATTTGACCCTGATTGTAACTAATGCTAGACTTCGGTGGGAAACTGAATAACATTTTAGGTATAGGATAACCATGTGGCAACCCACTTTTTGAGCTTAGGCTGATGTTTAAGTTGGTCCCTCCATGTTTTTTTAAATGACGTACTTTTTTCTTTGGGGTTTTAACTGATTAATTATTTTGCAGTGTGCTGCTATTCAGGTGAATGGATCTGTCCTCTGACACCTTTGTAGGAGAGGGATTGGAGCATCCAGAGCTGATACTGATCAGGTGCATCATATATATAGCCAATATTTTAGCAACACTTTTATAATCATCATTTGCTAACATGGGAGTGTTTAAGGAAGGTATGTAACTGCAAAGTGTGTGTCTTTACATAGGGTTGCCAATAGGTGGCAAGGTTACCATTATATTGCTAAGGATTACCAATAGGTTGCAAGGTCACCATTGGTATTTGGCACTGTATTTTATTAATGGTTACAATTTCCTAAGGCACTTCAACATCAGTGTCACACATATGCTAGTGAATACTAACTAGCCCAGAGTTCTTTTAATTGTTGTTTTTTTACCTAGTAATATTTATTCCCATCACTGCCTCACTTTCCAGTCTTTTAACCCTTTCAGGGTCCGTGCCGTAGATCTACAGCTTTACATTGAGGGTGCAAACCGTAGATCTATGCCATGAGCTCAGCTCACTGATAAGCTGTGAGCAGGAAATTTGGGCCTAGATATGAGAGAATACATCTATGTGGTATGTGTTCTCCACATAAAACAAATCCTGCAGCACACAGTGCATAATGAGAGAAAAAACTGAGACCGTTATTTTCGATTAAAATAGCGACTTTGCAGTTTTTTCATATGTTTTTTATAGCTGTATTTGTGATTTCTTGGTCTCATTTGATAGAATGGAAGATATAATACAGAAATAGAGATTATTTTGATTGGTTTTAGTACTGGAAATGGTTTGAAACTGAGCTCAAAGTAGTGGAAATGTTAAATTTTTGCCGATGTTCAAGAGTAAACAAATGACCTCACACATTTAACACACCAGCTGGTGGGTCTGATATACGTTCACAAATGTGGTGATATTATTTATACAATTATTACAGTATTGCATAGCAGTAAATCTTCTATTTTTTGGTTTGAATAAAAATTCATTGTGAATAAAAAATCAAAATGGAATTCATTTGTAAAGCATGAAAACGTAACTAATGAACAGAGGAAATGTTAGTTTAGTGCTAAGAATGCCTGCATTGTTTATTCTGGACCCTATTTTGAAATTGGAATATTTTGAATTTTACATTAACCCTTTCAGGGTTTTCGACGTACGCACCAAGGTTATTGACGTACTAGTACGCCTAAATTCTAGTGCCTTCAAATCTAGCGAGAGAAAGCTGGTAGGCCTACATATGAGAGAATGGGTCTATGTGGTCAGTGTGTGCAGTATAAAAAAAATCCTGCAGCACACAGTGTGTAATGTGTTGAGAAATGGCATTACCAGCTAAGTTTAAAGAGTTTGTACTTAACCTAGAAAGACAGCTCATCGCCTGCACAGCCGCCCCTGCAGACGAGGTCTTGAGAAGCTGTCGAAGTCATCTCTTAAGGGGCTTTTTAAATTTGAGTTAAAAATTTGTAAGTTATAAATTCCCCCTGGGGGGTGTTTGTCGGGCATTTTTTAAATTCACTGTTGCGGGAAAAATTACTTGTGTGGACTAAAAATTTCCCCCCCTTTTACTCCCAAAATATGGGTTTTGTTTTAAAAAACTTCTTGGGGCCCTCAAAAAAACTGCGCAGCCCCCTTTGTACTAAAAGGGAAATTTTCGAAATTACCTTGCTCTTGGGGTTTGGGGCTATGGGTGTTCTTCACCCCCTTTTGACAGTATCGGGGGATTGTAAAGGGGGAAGGGGCCTTTGGGTTTTCCCACGTCTTCTTTAGTCTAGGAAAACGCAAAATGGTTCCCCACTATTTTCCCCAAAAGTTTTGGGTCTTTATTGTTCCTTTTCTTATCACAAAAAGAAGCTGATCACACTTCTCTTAAGTGTTTTTTTGGGTTTTATGGGGACACTTTGTTAACACAAACGACAGATCATTCTTTGTTGGTTATCCTGGCGTCAGTGTCATTCAGTAGAGTCAAAAGTTATCTGATGACGCCACAGCACCCCACGCCGTTATTTCCCCCTTGACAAAGGAAAAGCGGGACATAGTATTTTTGCTTCCTTGCCATTTCCCTCCATGAGGAAAACCCAGAAGTTTGTTTCTTGCTGTTTTAAAGCATAGACAAAAATTGTCCACTTTTCTTTACTATGGTATAAAGTGGGAGCAGGTTTTTCCCTTTAAATTTGCCCTTTGCTAAAGTAAGAGATGAACTGTCTTTTATTAAGCAAACACTTTGCAACACAGGACCGCCGGAGCGTCGAGCCACAACTACGGGTTTCTGATCGGGGGTTTCAATTACTCCCTGTAGCAGTAAAAAAGGGATTTTTTCCCCCTTCTGAGAGGGCTGAAAGGGGCGGGAAGGGGGGTTTGTTCCCCCCCTCCTGGAGAAAATTTTTTCCACACGGGGGGGCGGGGAGGTTCGCTGCAGGGGGAAACTATTCACCACTTAACTTTAAATTTTAAATTTTTCTCATCGCCACCATGCTGCTTGTCTTTTCTAAAAGCTTAGTCTGTGTGGTTTCTGGAGAATCATAATTTTTTTTTCAACATGTGAAATTTTCAACGGTACTAGTTTATTTATTCCCCACTTATTCACTCCCCTTTGCTAAAAAACATCAACTGTCCTGTTGATTCCATTTGCATCAGGTATTTGGCACAATTTTTCCAAGGGGGCCATTGGGCCCTTTGGGCCTCTTTGTCAAAAAATAAAACCTATTTTTTCCACCGGGTTTAAAGGGGAATTTGTTTTTCGGACCACCAGCCCCCTTTAAAAGTGTTCTCTCAATGAGGTGGGGTAGTCTTCTCGCCAAATTTTCCCCCAAACCATTCAATCACATTTTTAAGGGTGTTTGAATTTAGCCCTGGTTGTCAGGTTCGAAATGTAGGACCCTCTAGGGATTTCTTTATATAAATGGGATGTCCAGATATCGGTAACATAAGTTATAGGTCTGTTTTTGGGATCTGTTTTCTATTTGTAAAAAAACTGTAGGAAATTTTTTCTAAGTCGATTTTTTGGACGATGAAGAGAAATTTCCCCTTAAAAAAAAACCCTTTTTTTTAACCCCAAAATTTCCAAAAAAAAAAAAATCTTTTTTTTTCATAAAATCCCCCTCCCTTGGAGTTTTAGGAGGAATGTTTCCCCCAACGACATCTGCTTTGGGTTCAGAATCTGTTGTATTTTGGTTGTTTCAAAGTTTCTTGCTTTTATAAGCGGGCACCAGCAACAAAGTTCGTTGCATTGTCTGAAATCATCAGTCGGGGACATCCCCTGCTTGCTGAAAAACCTTCTGAAAAATTTTTATAAGGTTTCAGCAGACTGTCATGGGCTACTTCTGGGATGTATGCTCTAGTTGTCGCCCTTTGAGGTATCCAGTGGGGTTTGTCGTATAGGGACAATGTGGGGTCAATACCCCCCCCTTGAAAACCACGTTACTTGGGCTTTTTGGGCACAACCCTTTTTGTTGGGCCAATGATTTTTGGGGATCAATTTTGGGATGATGGCTTCTTTAGGTAGTGAAGAATTATGAATTTTTCCTCGCATCTTATAATCTTTTCTG